AGAGCAGCCTTTTCAATACGATTATAAGTTTACCTCAAGAGCTTGAATTCAAATAGTAATTGTACTAGAGTGGTCCAATTTTGGATGTTGAAAATGAGATAAGCACTGTTGAATGAATTAATGGGATCACTTCCTGGAGGAAGTGTTAATAGCAACAGCGCCTTATGTGTGTACCCTATAAACCTGCATGCATTCTAGTGGTCTGAAACATCAACCAAATGGTAATGACAAAGAACTAACATGGGTTGTCTGTATGGAACGCCACAGCTGTCTTATGTGGAACTCTGATATTACTTTATGTTGTTTTATTATTACTTGATGATATTTTGTCTTTACTTAATATGGTTTTGACATTACGTAATGATGTTTTGATATAACTCAATATGGAATAGTCATTACTTAATGATATTTCGATATTACACGATATGGTTTCGTATTGACTTGATATAGTTTTGTCATTACTCAATATGGTTTTGTCATTACTCGATGTGGTTTCACCATTATTTAATGTGGTTGTGTCATTCGTCAATGTGGTTTTAACATTACTTGATGTGAATGTGACTTAACGTTATGTAGTTGTTTCATTACATGATGTGGTTTTGTTATTTTGTAATGATGATTTGCCTATTCTTTATATGGTTTTAACATTACATAATGATGTTTCAAAATTTGACGATTTTACACTACATGATGTGTTTGTTTCATTATTTGATGTGGTCCTGTCATTCTTTGATGTGGTTATACCATTACTTGATGAGGTAAAATCACGTGACCAATTCGGAAAAACCTGTTCTATTTTAAGATAGATTTCCATGTTGTATGTGCCTTGGATGAGTGTGGCCATCCATCGAATTAAAGTTCGGGTTACTGTTTGAGTTAAACTTTGAGTTAGTCTTTGATTTCGAATTCAAGTCATTATTAGAATTAAAGTTTTAGTTAGCATTGAGTTTCGAGTTGGACTTCGAGTTTGAGTCACATTTAACTGAGGTAGAGTTCTAGTTACAACATTAAATTTGAGTCACTTTTTGAGGTAGAGTTTGTGTAAGATTCGAATTTAAGTCTCATTTAGATTAATTAAGATTTTGAGTTGAAATTCGAGCTATCTTATATGAGTTCGTAATTAAATTTTCTTTCGCGGAACAATTAAGGACTTTTGCTCGGGCTTCTGAAAAGAGGGCTCTGGGGTATGCGTACAAAAGATAAAAAATGCTACAGTATACAAAACGCAACATAGAAGTTGAAATAAAGTTAGATGTGGTGTGATTGACAATGAGACAACTATCCATCAGAGTTGAAATGCAGTGGATGTAAGAAATCATATATAGGCAACCGTACAGCCTTCAACACACCGTATAGTCAGCTACAAAAGGCCACCATGCAACATGTGAAAAAATTCAAACGAAAAAACAAACGGTCTTATTTATAAATAAACAATCTACAAAAAAAAATGACACACATTTATACAACGACAACAATTGAACTTCATGCTCCTGACTTGGGGCAGGTACATAAAGAAAGTGCACGTGGCGGAGTTTAACATGTATGTGAGCGCTAAATCCTAACCTTACATCGGACTGTTACAGTTGTGTAACAGCACAACACGAGAACAAAATGTAAATTAGACAAAGTGATGTCCCCGCACTCAACTCATTTAACCGCTTATACCCTAAAAATGATAAAAAAAAAGTTCAATTATCTCCCAAAAGAGCAAAAGATAATAAAAAATAAAAACCCTGATTCAATATATGTACAAACAGACAGTAAAGAGAAAACTTCCTAGGATTCAACTGTAGGAGGAGTTATGCGGAATAACTATATACCCATAATGGGACGGACAGAAGGACTGACAGAAGGACGGACGGACAGACGGACGGACGGACAGGGGTAAAACAATATGCCCCCCCCCCCCCCCCCCCCCCAACTTTCAGTTGCGGTTGCATACAAAACAGTTTCATTTGGCTGTTTCAATAGATCGGTATGACTGGGTAATATAAATCCATCGGGGTGATCTCGGATGCTCCAGAAAGGCACCCGTTGTGTTATTCGAGAAAGTACAAACCCAGTGATTTGGTTTTATTTGGTAGTTTACATTCAAGGAAAAGATTACGGTTTTATGGTTACGACCACTGGAACATGTCCGTCGTCACATATGAAACAGATATTCCAAAAAGTTTATTTTTCAATTAGTGCGAGGTAGATCGGGGAATTCAATTGATTACAAATAAAAGATTGATATTCGTATAAGTTCAAATGATCATTTACGCCAAAAAACATTCGGAGAATTCTTATTTTATAGTAATGATGCTTTGTCGCTTAATCCGAGCCCCCCTCCCCCCGTTTCCCTGTAACTTTAGTGTGAGTTGATTTGAAGTGTTTCATTTGTTAACAATAAAGTTCAAATCTTTTGATTTGTGTCGAGCCTGCGACTTCAATGTAGCGGCAGTGAGACACAACCTATATTTCGTCGTCGATAGTGGCGTCGGCGTCTCCATCTCAATTTTTTTTATTTCTACTGAGTTTAACCTTTCATTATACATGTTACTAAACATGTATGCCATCATAATTTTGTACTTTTAGAATATCATACTGTATTTGTTTACCTCGACTATTGTATCTGTATTTATATTGTATGTTTCTCTGTAAACTTTTTTTCTTGTTATTGTCTGCCGTTCCCCTTTTTCATACCAAATAACTCTGAACAACCACTCGAACTTTAATTTGAACTTTAACACAATGGATAGTGATACCCATCCAAAGCACATTAAACAAACGATATATTGAAATCTGTTTAAAAATAGAACATATTTTTTTCCGAATTGGTCACGTGGTTTTACTTCATCAAGTAATGGGATAACCACATCAAAGAATGACAGGACCACATCAAATAATGAAACAAACACATCATGTAGTGTAAAATCGTCAAATTTTGAAACATCATTGCGTAATGTTAAAACCATATAAAGAATAGGCAAATCATCATTACAAAATAACAAAACCACATCATGTAATGAAACAACTACATAACGTTAAGTCACATTCACATCAAGTAATGTTAAAACCACATTGACTAATGACACAACCACATTAATTAATGGTGAAACCACATCGAGTAATGACAAAACCATATTGAGTAATGACAAAACTATATCAAGTCAATACGAAACCATATCGTGTAATATCGAAATATCATTAAGTAATGACTATTCCATATTGAGTTATATCAACACATCATTACGTAATGTCAAAACCATATTAAGTAAAGACAAAATATCATCAAGTAATAATAAAACAACATAAAGTAATATCAGAGTTCCACATAAGACAGCTGTGGCGTTCCATATGTCTGCTATATGAAAATATTATGGTCAAAGATATATATATACTTACTAGTATATAAAGAAAAGCATTACCATTAGTTCTTTATTTAATATATCTCATTGAATTAATTTAATAAAAGGTAATCAGCTTTAGCCTAAGATCTGTAAAAAAAATGATCATGCATCATCTGTGTATGAATTAAAATTTGTAGTCTCTGTGGGCGACTTTGATGGCCAGAGATAGCGTTTAGATAGTCATGTCTAATCTGAAAGTATGTCTGTTGGTTTTTGTTAGTCGTTTGGGTTGCTTTCTCGTTGACTTTAAAAACCTCAAATCTCTCTTTATTTATAAATATACTCTATTACAGATATATCAATGTTAAAGACGCTGTTTTCTGCTTTCGGAATGCTGACCTGTATTCAACTCATTTGAACGAAACTATAAAAATATTTTAAAAAATACACCTCATACCAAACGAATATAAATGTTTAGCTTTTAATGTCCACTAAACTCAATGATCTCTTGGTAGTAAGTTTGATCGCTTGCCAATGAAACCATCACTTATTATAAAATCTCCCCACTTTAAAAACATAAGAAGATGTTGTATGATTGCCAATGAGAAAACTTTCCACAAGAGATATCAATGATGTGGGTGTGGATGTAAACAACTATAGTTCATCGTCAAAACGAGAAACTCAAAGGCCTGGTTAATGTTAAAACAATAAACGGAAAAACAAATATGACAGACAGCAAACAATTACAACCAAGTAATAAAGGGCCACTGACTTGTGATAATCATATTCATACTGTGCAAGGTTAACGCTGTTTGCGAGCACTCAATCCTCCAATAATCAGGAACAGTTTTTATTCATGGGCCGGCTGAGGACCACCTCCTGGTGCGGGATTTTCTCGTTGCGTTGAAGACCCATTGGTGGCCTTCGGCTGTTATCTGCTCTTGATCTGGTCGGTCTATATCTTTATTCAAATATACAAATTTTGAGACAGGAAAGTGATTCATTTCTAATATTATTCTTTTAAATTGAAATAATTATGTATTGTATTTTATTATTCCAACTGTTAAAAAAAATACAGAACATTTTTTGTATAATTTTATTTTTTTCAACTTTGGCAAATAAGGGGAAGCAACTCATATAACCTTACTTTAACTACAAAACATTTTTATGAATTACACCACTTTCCGCAAAATATATTTTTGTATAGTTTCAGTATGTTGTTCATAGATAGTAACAGACTTGTTTTTCAGAGAAAAACTTTGTGTTGCAATTAGTTGCAGGTTGTTAACTAAATTGACTAGACTATTTTGTACACAAATCAGGACATAAGTTTTCTCATGTGAATTGTTTTACATTTGTCATTTTGAGGCCTTTTATAGCTTGCTTTAGGGTATGGGTTTTGCTCATTGTTAAAGGTTGTATGGTGACCTATATGTGCTAACTTCTATATCATTTAGTCTCTGGTGGAGAATTATCTCATTGGCAATCATGCCACATCTTCTTATTTTCATCTTTATCACAAACTTTTAACAGTTGTTGATGTCACAGCCAATGCCAGAAACAGCACCCTTAAGTCTTGCCTCAGGTACATTTTTAGATGAGACGAAAATTCCTGAAGTTATAAATCTAATTATCTAGAGAAAGAATCAACTTCAACTAAAAACATACCCTTAAACTTTGTCTAACAAGAATCCTTCCCAGATTAACAGAAACACCAAGATCGACAGCATAAATTCCTTTTGTTGTTTGACTTCCATCTATTTCATGTAGGTCATCTTTCTGAATGTGAAGAGTTGGTAGAGTATTATCAAGAAGCTCCAAATTCAGCCATTTTTTAGAGAAGCTATAATACCAATAAACTGTCCAGTTGTACTTTATATTGGTCAGTGAACAGGTTGATTTGATGGCAGCAGTGAGTTTGACATCTTCCATACTCTGGTATCTACATGTAGCATACAGTTTATTAGCCACTCCCGATATCATCACGGTGATACTGCAACTCTGACCTGTACAACTACACAGAAATGCTACATTAAAAGAAAAACAAGTTGTTAGAAATTTTACTGACCCCCAATCTTTTCCAAAACAAGGTGAGGTAAGTTATCTTTTTAAATTGTCAAACCTCGAAATCAAAAGTGTACTCTTCATAAAGATAAATTTGATTATTGATATCAAATTCACATTCTATATTTTGGCTTTTCAAGTTTGGTGAAGATATTTTTTGCATTTAAATGTATCAGTAAAACACAGGAAAATCAAACTACATATTTTCAAAATTTTACTCTGGATGTCTTCTGATCTTAAAAAAGCTTCTGTCCAAGTTTAATAACATTCCATGAAGGTTTTACTAAATAAACTTTAACCACAGAATGAACCTGTTGGTGACAACAACCACACTGTCTACAGAATGTAGGATAGCTATGTCTTGCTTCCCCAACAAAATGTTGCAGGCTCAACAAAAGTGAAATATGTACCATTAATTTTTTCAGAGATATAATCAACTAACTAGAGGCTCTAAAGAGCCTGTGTCGCTCACCTAGGTCTATGTGCATATTAAACAAAGGACACAGATGGATTCATGACAAAATTGTGTTTTGGTGATAGTGATGTGTTTGTATATCTTACTTTACTGAACATTCTTGCTCCTTACTATTATCTCTATCTATAATGAACTTGGCCCGGTAGTTACAGTGGAAAATATTTTGTAAAAATTTACAAAAATTTACAAAATTTATGAAAATTGTAAAAAATTTACTATAAAGGGCAATAACTCCTTAAGGGGTCAATTGACAATTTTGGTCATGCTGACTTATTTGTAGATCTAACTTTGCTGTACATTATTGCTGTTTACAGTTTATCTCTATCTATAACTAGAGGCTCTAAAGAGCCTGTGTCACTCACCTTGGTCTATGTGCATATTAAACAATGGACATAGATGGATTCATGACAAAATTGTGTTTTGGTGATGGTGATGTGTTTGTAGATCTTACTTTACTGAACATTCTTGCTCCTTACTATTATCTCTATCTATAATGAACTTGGCCCAGTAGTTACAGTGGAAAATATTTTGTAAAAATTTACAAAAATTTACAAAATTTATGAAAATTGTAAAAAATTGACTATAAAAGGCAATAACTCCTTAAGGGGTCAATTGACAATTTTGGTCATGTTGACTTATTTGTAGATCTAACTTTGCTGTACATTATTGCTGTTTACAGTTTATCTCTATCTATAATAATATTCAAGATAATAACCAAAAGCTGCAAAATTTTCTTAAAATTACCAATTCAGGGGCAGCAACCCAACAACATATTGCCTGATTGGTCTGAAAATTTCAGGGCAGATAGATCTTGACCTAATGAACAATTTTATACCATCAGATTTGCTCTAAATGCTTTGGTTTCAGAGATATGAGCCAAAAACTGCATTTTACCCTATGTATTATTTTTTTGCCATGTCGGCCATCTTGGTTTGTGGGCAGGGTCATCGGACACATTTTTTAAACTAGATACCCTAATGATAATTGTGAACAATTTTGGTTAAATTTGTCTTAGTAGTTTCAGAGGAGAAGATTTTTGTAAAAGATTACAAAAATTTACGAAAAATGGTTAAAAATTGACTATAAAGGGCAATAACTCCTTAAGGGGTCAACTGACCATTTTAGTCAAGTTGACTTATTTGTAGATCATACTTTGCTGAACATTATTGCTGTTTACAGTTTATCTCTATCTATAATAATATTCAAGATAATAACCAAAAACGGCAAAATTTCCTTAAAATTACCAATTCAGGGGCAGCAACCCAAAACGGGTTATCCGATTCATCTGAAAATTTCAGGGCAGATAGATCTTGACCTGATAAACAATTTTACCCAATGTCAGATTTGCTCTAAATGCTTTGGTTTCAGAGATATAAGCCAAAATCTACATTTTACCCCTATGTTCTATTTTTAGCCATGGCAGCCATCTTGGTTGGTTGGCGGGGTCATCAGACACATTTTTTAAACTAGATACCCCAATGATGATTGTGGCCAAGTTTGGTCAAATTTGGCCCAGTAGTTTCAGAGGAGAAGATTTTTGTAAAAGTTTACGGACGACGGACGCAAAGTGATGAGAAAAGCTCACTTGACCTTTCAGGTCAGGTGAGCTAATAATATTCAAGATAATATAACCAAAAGCTGCAAAATTTTCTTAAAATTACCAATTCAGGGGCAGCAACCCAACAAAGTGTTGCCTGATTGGTCTGAAAATTTCTGGGCAGATAGATCTTGACCTAATGAACAATTTTATCCTCATCAGATTTGCTCTAAATGCTTTGGTTTCAGAGATATGAGCCAAAAACTGCATTTTACCCTATGTACTATTTTTTAGCCATGTCGGCCATCTTGGTTCGCGGGTGGGGTCATCGGACACATTTTTTAAACTAGATACCCTAATGATGATTGTGGACAAGTTTGGTTAAATTTGTCTTAGTAGTTTCAGAGGAGAAGATTTTTGTAAAAGATTACAAAAATTTACGAAAAATTGTTAAAAATTGACTATAAAGGGCAATAACTCCTTAAGGGGTCAACTGACCATTTTGGTCATGTTGACTTATTTGTAGATCTTACTTTGCTGAACATTATTGCTGTTTACAGTTTATCTCTATCTTTAATAATATTCAAGATAATAACCAAAAACGGCAAAATTTCCTAAAAATTACCAATTCAGGGGCAGCAACCCAACAACGGGTTGTCCGATTCATCTGAAAATTTCAGGGCAGATAGATCTTGACCTGATAAACAATTTTACCCCAGTCAGATTTGCTCTGAATGCTTTGGTTTCAGAGATATAAGCCAAAATCTATATTTTACCCCTATGTTCTATTTTTAGCCATGGTGGCCATCTTGGTTGGTTGGCCGGGTCACCGGACACATTTTTTAAACTAGATACCCCAATGATGATTGTGGCCAAGTTTGGTCAAATTTGGCCCAGTAGTTTCAGAGGAGAAGATTTTTGTAAAAGTTAACGACGACGACGGACGACGGACGCCAAGTGATGAGAAAAGCTCACTTGGCCCTTTGGGCCAGGTGAGCTAAAAATGTACGAAAATGATCTATAAATGTATAGAATGAACCTAAATTTAAATGCATCGATAAAATACATTACATATGCACTTTGAATTACATTTTCTTGAAATTCCACAGATTTGTTTTTTCAGGAATGCCAGGGTTTTGTACTTTGTTGGTTTAGGTAGCAATACACAGTTAGAAGTTTAGTTTCGCATTATGGCCATGGTGAATTTTTTAAATATGAAAGTTTTTGTACAATAAAATTGATTTTTAGATAATTGAAGAATAATATAGCCTTCTTAGTGGGTTTATATGAACATTTAGATTGTTTTTAGCATGTTTTATAGGCCATTTTTCTGTTTGACCGTCCGTATTTTCCTATCCGTACCGCCCATAGGTCCATAAATTATAGTAGTGTTTATCAACAAAGATTTTGCGCTCGATCTTTTCAATTCAATTTTATGGAAAAACGAGCAGAAATGCATATGATTTTTTTTTGACCTCTTGATAGATATATGTCTATGGATTCAGGAAAGGTATCACTGTAATTGATTGAAATTTTCCTTTGGACCAAATTTTGGAGACTTTTGTGACATGTTCACCCCCTTTTTTTGCAATATTTTGCATCAAAGAAATGCAGATTGTTGCCATGGTTACACCCAAAAGAGATTATATTTCACCATTATAACCATTAGAAATCAAATCTATGGAAGATTTTCTTTCTATAAATATACACATGCATAACACAAATATAAAGCCTTATTTGTTAGAAAGGAAGGGAAAGAGGGTGTTTAAAAATTATGAGTGTCAATTTTAAGTTTTTTTCCTAACTGTGTATTGCTACCTTATGGCATTTGACAAAGCACAGAATTGCTTATTTTTAGACAAATCATACCACAAATCTATTGATATTTAGATTATAGATACAATTCTGAGGGAGAAACATCTTTTAGTATGACAATATATGTTAGTTTTGTTGTTTATTGTCCTTAGCAACCAATATAGACATTTTGACACAAAGACTTGGTTCGGTCATAAATTGATACTTTATTGGCTACCCCTTGGAAAAGAAACAATGCGCGTTATGTAGAAACCTCAGAAGGGAACGCTTTATATTTTTTTATGCGACTAAATCAAATTCATTATTTTAGCAAGTATAAAGTCACAATTTAGCATGAATTAAGTCTAAATTTGTTCCCGCTGTTATAAATTAATTCAGTATTTGCTAAATTTTAACCAAGGCTTTGGTATGCTAATACACAACAAAATTGACATTCTTAAGCCTTAAAATAGCTTTAACTTGTAAAATTTGTCTACTGTTAAGGTTAATTTAAGTTTTTAAACAAGAAAAGACAAGCACAGAAGGTATAGTTTTAGAAATTTGACTAAAAAAGGAGAATTTACACTTTGACATGGTATGTTTCACCAAATCACTTTTTTGTTGCAATTCAGTGTCAACTGCTAACCTTCATAAAATATTTATTTCTGAACCAATTTTCAAAACTAGCAGGCCAATTTGCTCGTTTAAGCTAGCAGAACACGGAAATCCATTTAAAATGGAATTGGGAAAAAAAATGTTTATCCTTAAGGTAGCAATACACAGTTAGAAGTTTAGTTTCGCATTATGGCCATGGTGAATTTTTTAAATATGAAAGTTTTTGTACAATAAAATTGATTTTTAGATAATTGAAGAATAATATAGCCTTCTTAGTGGGTTTATATGAACATTTAGATTGTTTTTAGCATGTTTTATAGGCCATTTTTCTGTTTGACCGTCCGTATTTTCCTATCCGTACCGCCCATAGGTCCATAAATTATAGTAGTGTTTATCAACAAAGATTTTGCGCTCGATCTTTTCAATTCAATTTTATGGAAAAACGAGCAGAAATGCATATGATTTTTTTTTGACCTCTTGATAGATATATGTCTATGGATTCAGGAAAGGTATCACTGTAATTGATTGAAATTTTCCTTTGG